TTTTGCTGACAGACGGTCCTTGAGCTCCTGGAATGCGATATTGCAACTTTCATCCCAGCAGAAATGTCGCTTCTCCTCGGTTAGCTTGTGCAGAGGTTTGGCTATATCTGCAAAGTTCTTCACGAATCGCCGGTAATAGGAGCACAAACCCAAAAATGCTCTAACCTGCGTCTTGTCTTTTGGAACCGGCCAATCCTTGACAGCGGCGATTTTCTCTGGATCCGTGCGGATACCTTCTTCCGATACTACATACCCCAAAAAGTTAACTTGCCGTTTGAATAGTGAACATTTCTTCGGACTCAACTTAAGGTTGGCACTCTGAATCTTCATGAGCACGCGTTCCAGGTTTTGAGGTGTTCCTCAAACGTCCGGCCTACGATGATGATGGCATCCAAGTAGACCAGACAGGCATCGCCAATTAGCCCGGTAAGTGCAAGTTCCATCAGCCTTTCAAACGTTGCTGGAGCATTGCACAACCCAAACGGCATTATTTAAATTGCCACAGACCATTTCCCGTCGAAAACGAAGTTTTCTCCTTGTCCTTAGGGTCAATTTCAACTTGCCAGTAGCCACTTTTTAGATCCAGCATGCTAAACCACTTTACTCCTGTAAGCATGTCCAGCGTGTCATCAATTCTTGGCAAGGGATAGCTGTCCTTCTTTGTAACGACGGCGGTAATCAATACAGAACCGCACGCTTCCATCCTTCTTCTTTACCAGCACCACGGGTGAACACCATGGACTAGATGAAGGTTCAATAACACCATCCTTCACCATTCCCTCAATCATGGTTTCCACTTCCTTTTCATGTGCAATTCTTCTCCTGTGTTTATTTTGTGTTAACTAAGCCAGTCTTTCCCATGTCAGCATCGTTTGATGAGAATACATCGGCGTACTTGAGTAACAACTTCTTCGCCTTGACCAATTCGTACGGGGAGAGAACACTGCGACAGTCTTCCAAAAGTGTGATCACTCTCGTTTCTGAATCCTTGCTGGGGGTCCCACTCGATATATATTGGCACCGACTTAACCAATCCACTTCCTCACAAATACCAACCAGTGTGCCTTTTTCTATAATCTGTTCCCGGTCACAAAGTTTTAGCACACGTACTCCTGAGATGTCAGTGGTCCTGATCAAGGTTCGAGCTACTTTCCATGGAAGGTCATTGTTTACCCTTACCACAAGTACACAACGGTGAGGTTGCCCAGCGTTTCGAGGAAGACTAACCGGAACAAACGTTTCCGATCTCGGCGGAAGAACAATCTTCTTAATGCTGTACAAGTTCCCTGGTAACGCACCTTCCATAAAAAGTTCCTCCTGTCCACATTTCAAAACACCTTGGTTAACGTCGATCTCATAACAATTATTCCTCATAAAGTCTAGGCCTAGGATGCAGTCGTCCATTATATCAGCCACGATGACATTATGCAGATAGATCAGGTTGCCTAGCTTCAACTCCATCTCCTTCTCTCCACGGACGGGTATACGCTGACCGGTGGCTGTTACCAAAGTAATGCGTTCTCGGTTGTATGCGGAGTCCCCTAGGAACTGACTTATTAGTTGGGAACTAACAACCGCACGAGAGGCTCCAGTGTCTATGGTCAGTTTACACGGCATTCCGTTGACCTCGCCCTTGATGATTAGACTGTTCCCATTGTGGGTTTGTGAGATCGAGATCCTTGGGGCTCTTTTAATATCAGCCAGCACCCGCCCCGCAGTTCTGGCTTTTACTCGTTTCCCTGCTGCTGCTGGGCGGTGCTGTTGGCCGCACTACCCTCCTGAGATCGTTCACCTTCCCTTTTTTAGGGTTCGCTTAGGGCAGCTGGATCGAATGTGGCCCTTTTCCCCACAGCCATAGCACCTAGGGCTGTATCCTTTGTTGCGGTCGCGAACTGTAGTGGCTGCAACCTCCCTGACGCGATGGGAACGATGATCCTGCCGCACGGCTTCCACCTCTAGTGCATGGGCCAAGGCGTCCTTAAGCATCTCGTGGTGCCCAAGCCTCACAGCAGTTCTGACGTCCAGGTCGCCGATGCCGTCGATGAATGTCTGCACCAGGTTCCCTTCAATGAGCGCAGGTACAGACCGGTATGCTTTTCGCACCAGCTTCTCCACCTCTAGAGCTCACTGCTGTAGGTTTTCGTTGATGCGCTGCACGCGATCTTTAAGCTGCGCACGAAAGACGTGTTCCAGGTGAGCGTCGCCATATCTCACCTCCAATGCCTCAAAGAGCTGCTCGTAAATCATTTCCTCACCGAGAGCTTCCAGAACTGTTAAGGCCTGGTCGCCAAGGCCTAGTGTGAGAGCAATCATGGCCTGACGTCTATTCCAGCCGTTCGTCTTCATAACAGCCTTGAACTGGATTTTGTAGGCTGACCAGGAAGAGGTACCGTCGAATGGTAGCACCTTGAACCCACGTAGCGAAGGTGTTGTAGCTACTACGGGAGCTGTAGCTCCATCTCCAAGTTTGAGTTCGTCCAGTGATTTTTTCATGTCAGCTATTACGTTGTCAACCCGATTGTTTACTTGGTCGATTCGGGTTTCAGCTTTCTCGATTCGGTTTTCAGCTTTCGCGATTTGGGTTTCAGCTTCCGACAGGCGGTTGTCATGCTGAGCAACCCTATCCTTCACCTCCTTTATCTCCTTCCCGAAGGTAGCGTGAAGGTCCTTCATGAGGAGCATCTGCTCTTCCAACCGACGGACCTGTTCCTCTTGTTCGCCCCGCAGCTGCTCCTCCAAACGACGAACCTGGTCTTCCTGTCGGCGGGCCTGTTCCTCCTGTCCGCCCCGCAGCTGCTCTTCCAATCGGCGTGCCTGTTCCGCCTGCTGGCGAGCCTGTTCCTCCTGTCGGCGAGCCTGTTCCTCCTGATGCCTGTCGGCGAGCCTGTTCAACCAACGGGCCTGTTCCTCCTGTCGGCGAGCCTGCTCCTTCTGTCAGCGAGCCTGCTCCTGCAGCATCACCATCAGAGCACCTAAGTCAGGTGCTGCAGATGTAGGGGCTACTGACGGGCCTGCAGCCGGAGGCAGGATGTCATTTTCTGGAAAGCTCCCCTCGCTCTCGTCTCTGACACTAGATGGCGCTAGTGCCGTCGACTTAGGCGCGTAACAATATTAAGGGATTGTTGAACTTCTTCGACGAGAAGCTCTGTCTCGCCAGCAACGCAGTCTTTCAAATATGCATTTAGAAAAATCCAAACTGGGCAGGGGCTTTATAGATGGTCTCCCTCCGCGCTTACGGCTTTACAAAGACTCAAGGGGTAGGGCAGACAAGACAACATGGAGTCGGGGCGTTCTGATTCGGTTTTAGCACTGATTCGACCTATCTCATCTATACTATATAGCTGAAAAAAATGCCGTTCATACCGTAATGGTCGTCCTGGACCCGATAATTCCCAGGATATTACCGTCATCTACATCGGACCTCAAAAATCTTTCAGCCCTTAGCACTTTATTCCTTGATATTAATATTTATCGTATATCTAATATCGTCACTGCGTGCTAGCGATACGTTTGCCAGCAACGCATATATCAACACAGTTCGTTGCGGTGAATACTTTAGAGCACCGAATTTTTAAACTTGGCACCTAATTATCACATAAAAAGCTCCTAATTTTGCCTTTGTCTAAATACAAATTCTTGACTTTGCGTTGCTGGCGAGACCTCATGGCTATAGTAATTAAAATAATCTTGCCGATACTCAAAAATACGTGCTTTGCGTTGAGTTGCGGAAAATATCCCGCAAGACAATAAAAACTAGCAAAACAGCAAAATCCAGGCCAGTTTTTCAGATTACCAAGTTTGTATGTTAAAAACACGCAAATAGTATTTTGCGTGTCTTTCTTATTATACCTACCTAATTCTTTATTACTCAGTGGACACAGGATATTTTAGGGCATCATGTACCTGACTACGGAAGACGAAAGAAAACTCAGAAATAAGGCGTAATTTTATTTAAATTTATACTTACTTCTTTACTACTAATAATTGGTACTAATGAAATTTCTTAAAGTCATGCCTGAACGTGTAAATGTAATCGAGAAATGGTTTAATGATGAAAGGTGGACACGCACGTGGATGACGTGGACAATCAATCGGGCGTGTTTTTACATATTACTATATTATTTTATAGATAGTAATTATGTAACTATTAATTCATAGATTACACAACAGTCGGCACGTGTATATTTTTCAATAAATGTATGATGCAAGTGTGTTATGGAGGAGGATAAATACAAAGCTGTAGGGCAGTGGCTCATGTTATTTTACAATTAACGCTTACAATGAACACTCTCATCGTCCTTTGTTCCGTGATGGCGCTACTGCAGGTACCTTTTAACTATATGTTAATACCTAATGCCTTAATACTCAAAAGTTGCTCAGTTTCAAGAAGCCATTAAGTATCGTGCTGTCTACATCACATAATATCTATATGTCACTTTAGGTCAGTGACTGCAACACCACGAGACGTAAAGAAATCTTAAAATTGAGCAGCGTTTGGATATTTGGCATTGTCTTTTATATTAATAAGCTAAAGTCCTTACTAATAAATAATACAACAAATACTTTGCCGGGTCATTTTCTCACCTAATACCAACGTAAAATAGCAGATTAATGTTGGAGTTGTGTTTCGTATGATGAATGTACAGAACCGAAGACCTTTTTGGTAACGAGGCATTCTATCTTAGTCCTCAGGAGTGACAATGAATCTTCATTTTGAATCTAAATTGGGGATAGATGGAGGTGTCTATGGGAAACAGCAACCAGTTACCATCAGGTGGATTGTGTGCCTGCTTGTCACCCTTATCCTATAGAAAAAATCTAGAACAATAACTAAAATGATTTTATTTCTAACGCGCCTGGCGGACGCCAATCTGAGGGTTTTGTGGCAGAGAAGTCTGCACATGTCTTGCGATATATATTTATATACTTATATTTAACTTCTTAGAAGTATAGAGTTCCTCATGGATCATATTTTTTCTTACAAATTATATACCTTTCAGCAAGCCTATGCGCAGTGTTTGCCAACTGCGTACTGTCTGCCTGCGCCCGCGCCGGCCCCAGTTTGTCTACCGGCACCAGCACCTGCTTCGATATGTTTACCGGCGGCTCCCGCCTTACCCCCGCAACTAGCTGCACTTGTCCCATTATTAGCTTCAACACTGTCGGCTTCATTAGCGGCTACTCTACCACCACTTCTAGAAGCAGCACTGCCGACAGTGCTGTCGTCTGCTTTGGCAGCTGCCGCTCCTCTGCTAGCTGCAGCCTTACCTCAGTGTTCAACGTGCGCAGCATTACCAGCGGCACCGATACTGTATCTCTAAGTCACATTTTTTTGACATTTTATAAAATAAAACAATTTTAAAATTAATTTAAACGTCGTTTATTTTTACGGCTTTCCTCTAAACTCAGTACCAAATTTAAATTTGTATAGGTTATAAGGTAAATGGTAAATGGCAATAATTGACGTTTTTCGGGTAAATTTGTAATTTTTATAACTAGAACAAACAGTAGCAATATCGTTGGGAAGAGTTATAAAGTTACGATACACGAGCCACTAAGTATAAGTTAGGTAATTGTACTATGCGCTATAAGTTACTTGTCGCGCAAGTGCAAGCAATAAGTTGACGAAGTTTTAGCGCAATCTGATAAATGGTATGACAACGCGTAAAATATGAACTAATAAACATAATTTTTATATATTAGATAAACTAAACGGCAGTAGTGGGAATGCAAAATCATAGAACCACAAAAGTTGCAAAAGACTTCAAAATAATAATTTTGTTAATAAGTACTAGTATATTTAAAACTATAAAATACACAGGGTTATTTTTCAGAGTAGCCAAATTTTAAACTTAAGTTCAAATATGTAGTACCTGTGGGTAATAAGGTAAATTCGAAATAAAAATGGCGAAATATCAAATTTGACCTACAGATTTTAATAAAATTCATTGGCTTTATAGAGTTTCTATAAAGTATGACTGAAAAATTGTAACATTTGCCACAAAAGAAAACAAAATTAAACATTTCTAATAACCTTGCTAGAAGGCCGTATTACTATGGTGAGGTAATACCTAGGCTGCACTAAAAGTATCGGGAATGGAATATTTCCACCGTTCCTGTTAAAATCTTTTTAATTGAAAACTCCTTGGTTTTAAAAATCGAATAGCATTTATTTATTTAAAAAAAGATTCTCGGTCTTGTCACAAGATTTTGTCAAACTTGTTTAGTCGTTGAGAAAATGGAATTGACTCGAGAAAATTCAAGAGCGATGATTTATTATGACTTTCGAAATGGTTTAACACAAAAACAGTGTGTTGACCGGATGATTTCTGCATTTGGTGATGAAGCCCCATCCAAAACCACAAATTATTGCTGGTTTGCTGAATTTCAACGTGGACGTGTCAAGCTCAGTGATGATCCCCGTCAAGGTCGTGCAAAAACTGCAGTCACCCAAGAAAACGTTGATGCTGTGCGTAAGCTGATTGAGGAAGATCGACATGTGACATACCGCGAAATTCAGGCAACTTTAGACATTGGCATGAGTCAAATACAAATAATCTTGCATGAACAATTAGGTGTAAAAAGTTGTTTTCCCGATGGATACCGCATTCGATCTGTGAAGAGCAAAAAGCGACTCGCGTTACTTGGTGCGTCAGGACTCTCGAAAGATTCCACGCAGGATCCTCAAATGCTGTATTCAACATCGTATCAGCTGACGAATCCTGGATATACGCGTACGAACCCGAAACAAAAAACCAGTCAAGAGTTTGGGTGTTCGAAAATGAGTTAAAGCAAACAAAAATTGTTCGTTCACGGAGTGTTGCAAAAAAAAATGGTGGCCACGTTTGTCTCCAAAACCGGCCATGTTACGACTATTCCTCTTGAGCAGGGTTGCCGTTCTATAAATTATAAAGTCCCTAGACTAACAGAAAAAATCCGCCAGAAACAGGATTTTACTTTTTCTTAAAATCCGCTAGATGTCCCTAGGTACATTTTCGTGCTACCATTGGGCTAACTGAAAAATCTTGCCAAATGGTATATATACAATGAATACCGAAAATCTAAATCTATAAATTCAGAAAAACCTTAAAAAGAGCGGACTCTATTTCATATAAATCAGTTATTTACAGTGTAGGTTAATGACATGCCAACCAAAACAAAAATTATTTATGTACAAAATAAAAAAAAATATTGTAAAAAAATAAATCTCTAATCTTTAAACCACGTTTAAACATTAGCCATCTTATTAAAAATGAAACAATTAGCTCAGTACGTTCTTGTATCTTATGTAAATTGTAAATTAATAGCGAAGTATGGATCCAGATCTTAAAAAATAACTTCAGCGGAAGTTGAAGCTTCGCCAATGTCTCTCAATCTTTATATATATCTTTGGTTTGCCTTTACCGACTTGGTGGACAACATCTTTAGGAATATCGTACGTTACGCAATTCTTTTTTTTAATCCTTAACTGATTTCTTATTGAAATAATTAAAAGTTTTTTCAGATAGCTTGTTTTGCAGTTTGATTTTAACTATGTTAATAGCACCAAATACGCGTTCAAATTCTGCATTGGAGTGCGGTAGTGATAATATTATTATTGCAAAATTACATAAATCTTTGAATATGTTTACTCCTGCTGCATTTTTGTATGTTGAGACAGATGAAAGTGAATAAACGACACTGAATTGTTAGTTGGTGTTCGGGAATTCCCGTGAAATTATATTATATATACAGTGTAACTAACGGTACATTACAAAATTGGACATAAGATAAAATACTTATTTGAAATGAATTACTTTATAAAAAAGTCGCCATCTCAAAAGTCCAAACGTCGCTAAATAATTATATCTCGCTAAAACGATTTTTTTATCCGCTAAACATCATTAAAATCCGCTAGATCTAGCGAGAAAGTCGCTAAAACGGCAACACTGCTCTTGAGGGACAAAGAACGGTTAGGTAATGCAGAATGGTATGCTAGCATTTGTTAGCCACAGGTCGTTTCTGAACTCCGTAAAGAGAACTGCAACCGCCGCATCATCCTCCATCACGACAATGCGAGTTCTCACACCGCACACAGAACAAAAGAGTTTTTAGAGCGAGAAAACATGGAATTATTAGACCATCCGCCGTACGGCCCCGACCTAAGCTCTAATGATTTCTATACTTTCCCTAAAATAAAGAATAAATTGCGTGGACAGAGATTTTCATCACCTGAAGAAGCTGTGGACGCCTACAAAACGGCCATTTTGGAGACCCCAACTTCCGAATGGAATGGTTGCTTCAATGATTGGTTCCATCGTATGGAAAAATGTGTCAAATTTCGCGGAGAACACTTCGAAAAGCAATAAATACATTTTTAAATAGTAATGTTTTGTCACTTCCTTGATTCCCGAAATTTTCAGTGCCGCCCTCGTAAGACCTACTGCTTTAACGAACTCAAATAATCAAACTATGCGTAAAATATTTAGTTTATTTGATCAATAAGCAAATGAATTAAGATTTAAAATCCTAAAAAAATATGAATTACTTCACCTAACAGCAATTTTTTTTCGTGGGGAAATCCTTATGGATACTATTCGTTGGGGGGGGGGGGCAACGAGGTTATGCCGGACTCCTACCGGCTAAAACCCCACGGTGGTCACCATCAGCGTATACGAGGGGTCCCGGGATCTCTGTTCGGAACGCAACCGGAGCCCCTCCAACGCTTTGCTATACTAATACACGTTCCAAGGGCAATACTTGCTACCCCCAGCACCCTCGCAGTGCTACCACAATGTCTCGAGACCACTTCCGAGTCACCGTCCTCCTCGGGGGTTACATAACTAGGCGTTCGAGGCCCCCGCCCAGAGCGCCTGCAACCCCAGAGGCCCCATTTCTGGTAGGGGAACACCGTTTTCAAGAGAAGGGCCATGACTGACGCCTTGGCGACGTCGTCTCCGAGCGGGATCCACCCGCTCCCGATCTCGCTCAAAAGCCTCCTTCTGAATCAAAACGGATTTACAGAAGGTGGCTACGGCCCACCACGCCAAGTCTCCGCCTAGCATCGCCAACACGACTGCTGGCAGGGAGAGGTTCCGTCCAATGCAGTTTACCAGAATCGTCCGCTCCCGTTCCCACGCTGGGCATACCGCGAGCGTGTGAGAAGCGGAGTCCTGGTCCCGTCCTCCGCAGTGGAAGCAGTTCGCCGTCGCCTCGCGTCCGATGTTACACAGGTAATCACCGCAGCACCCGTGCCCGGTAATTATCTGTATAAGTCTGTAGTAGAGTTTTCCTACTCGTCGCTGCATCCAGGCTTCGAAGATCGGCAGGATTGCTCCAATGACGCGTTTGCGTCCATAGCGCTCCTCGAGACGAGTGCGCCATGTCGCTAGGGCGTTTTGCCGTTTAATTGATTCGAGTGCCTCGGCTCCCTACCACCGCTCTGACGGAGGGCACGAATCCGGATGTAGACCCTCGCTTACATCTCCTCCAGTAAATCTAGTAGTGGAACGCGAGTCAGGATTGATGCCACCTCAAAGGATATAGTGCGGTAACCTCGTACGATCCGTATCGCCATCCTCCGCTGCACACTGTAGATTTTAGTTTAGTACACCGTCGAATGGCCAGCCGTTTTGTCCATACAGGCGCTCCATACAGAGCTACGGCCCGTATAACTCCCGCGTAGAGGCGACGTACTTCCCCCGTAGGTCCCCCTAGATTGGGTAGCAGTCTATGCATAGCAATAGCACCCTTTCAATCCGGGGGACTAGGCGCTCGAAATGTTCTTCGAAGCCCCAGCGACTCTTCAGGTGGAGGCCTAGGTACTTCATGTACTTCCCCACTCTGACTTCAGACCCACCTACGCTAACGCACGAGTTGGGTGGTTCCCTGCCCGTGGTAATTTATGAAAACATAGAGCCTCGGTCATGTTAGGCGCTACGTCTAAGCCCAACTCGTGGATTTTGGCGACAACGACTTCCGCCCCAAGCTCGGCAAGCTCTTTAGCTCTCTCGACAGTTATCCCGCTGGCGATTACCAATGTGTCGTCGGCACCACCGACCCACCACCGAGCCCTGTTTGTGGAACTCCATGTTTGATTTCCCTCCGGATCTTCCTACCATCTTTCCCCATGTACAGGATGAACCTGTCGCGCAAGTAGTCCCCGGTAAGTACCTTCACCTAACAGCACTTATCAGTGCGTAGCAGCGGTTGTGTCTCAAGTTGAGATGAGAGTTATGTTGAGTTGAGAGTTGGGTTGAGTTGAGAGTTGGGTTGAGTTGAGAGTTGTATTGAGTTGAGAGTTGGGTTGAATTGGAGTTGGGTTGAGTTGAGAGTTGGGTTG